TTGGGAGGGGAAAAGAGGCATCACAAGGAGATGCTTTGAAAAGTGCAAGCAGAATGCTTTTAAATACAGCTTTTTATGAGAACATCCCATGGGAATGGCTGCTTCAAAAAGACCTTGTAAAACAGTATCAGGATTTTTCCCAGGGCTGTGACTTTTATTATCCTTTGAAAGTTTGCTTCATTTTCTGTGAAAAAGGCGTTAGCTAGATATCAGGTGTATCTTCTTACTTAAAAGGTGGATCATTCTGATTTTCTACAGCTACTATTTCAATAACCCCAAGCAAAAATTAGGAACCACATTGTGATGGGGAGGTGGTTTTCAATTTTCATGCAGAAATCTGCGTCTTTGACAATGAGATTCTTTGGTGAAACAGCCTAAAAATCAAACATGTTTCTGAACTTTTCATCCATGTTCCGAACATTGAATGCAGCTGTCTAAAATAGCTTTTGGGGTCCAATTTTCAGGAAGCTTCTCTGCTGATCCAAAGCCAGCCTACAAGTCATTGCTCAGAATTCTTCCGCTTTGGGGTTCCCTTTTTGGTGATGTTCTCAGATTTTGCACATCTTTAGCTATACTGAGGTCCAGTACTTTGGCATCAAAGGTCCAGAGCCTTTTTATGCTAACAGCCACACAGGGCTTTGCAATGATATCTTGGGGGCCATGCTCTAAAAAAGCTGGTGGGACCGCAAGAATGAAATGGGACAAAAATTGAACCTGAGATTATTTAAATTAACCTGAATTAAAATTAGAATAAATGAACTAAATATTGCTAAAATGATTATTCTATAATTTTACCCTATAGCCCCATAGAGTAGGGCTTGCAAACAGTATGAAAAGTGGTTCTGTCTATATTTAGCTTAGTGGTCAGCTATTATGGGACATAGCTTGGCAAGAGGAACACCAGAGTGCACATGTCCTTTGGCACCAAGGCATGGGTGAACTGATCACTGATGAACAATCAAAGACAGTGTAGAGCGGGAGAAAATGCCTCACCAAAAAAAAAAAAAAAAAAAGGCCACCAATTAGAATTCAATTAAATGCACACAATTAATTAGTTGCATAGAATTGAAAAGTCAAATGTAGATAAATGGCTTTTTTGTTTTCTTTTGAAGAACATATGAAGTACTTATGTCCTTTTTTATATGCAATTATCCCTGGAAAGGAAATTGAAATGATTCTGTTTCCTTACCAAGGACATTCGTTGACTATTGCTTCTCATCTAGATATCTGACAGCAGACATACTAAAATTACACGTCGCTCTGGGAATTCTTGAAACACCAGTAAGAAAAAGAAGAATTGATTTCTCTGTAGTCCAAGAAGAACACAGTTCAGATTTAATGAAAATAGATGAAAGTTTAGAGGATCACTCAAAAGTTCACCAAAAAGGAAAGCACTTCTAGACAATAATGGAAGTGAAAACAGGATGAAAATAATTAAAGATAATACAAAACAAAATGAAATTCAGTACTTTCACTTAGCTCTAAGTGTGAGCCAAAAGATGATTCTCAATTTGATAAACATAGTAAATATTATGAAGTCATGCCACTTATATTGTGCATCAAGCAAAACAGCAAACAACGTCACAGTAAAGACTGCACTTCCATTACCTGTGAATACATCTACATGGATATGTGGCATTCATTTGAATACATATTGGTAAATCATTGAGTGCTTGCTCCAGGCCTAATTTGCATTGGAAATCTGCAGAAAAGTGATTTTCTAATAAAACGTATCTTGAGAATTATCTTTACACCCACACTTGTTAACATATGGATCCTTAGGTGAGCCAAAAAACCAGAGGCAAGGGTTTCTTCACTGCCTCTTGCCTATGTAAACAGCAACTGGAATAGTCTCTTGACCCACTGCAGCGGCTCTTTTACTTGCTCCTTCCAGGCAAGTGGACCATTTAACTTGGTGTGAATAACTGCAGGGATGGTCAGAATTTTCCCTTTGGTATTCAATCCTTCTTCCCTATATTGTGGCTTGGGGAAGAGCAGGGAATGCTCAAGGGAAGAGCAGGGGGAAAACTATTCCCAGGGTAATAAGTTAATGGAGCCCTTGGCCCATCTTTGCACTCAGTCAACAAGCAAAATCCTGATTGCTAACTCTATAGGCCCATCTCTGTGCCAAATCAGTGGGATCTGGGTAGTGCAAACTGGACATCTCAAGGGCAAAGGCTCATGT